GGACTTCAACTCCCAGAATTCCCCAGCCACCCAAGTCCACACTTCTTCAAGCTGCCAAGGTTGAGAAACACTGGGCTAGACTGATGTAAAATTAAAATTGGATCCTCTCAATGTCGCCTTCAAAATTCGCTCCCCATCAGATAGAATCGGGGCAGGAAGGTGATCAGGGTTCAATTACAATCTCAATGAATGGCATTTACAATAAACAAACAGATTCATGTTTTGCAGAGATGTCTGGTTCTGCCTCAAGTCCCCCCTTCAATGACATACAAAAAACTACTATCCGATTTTAATTAGGAAATTACATCTAACTGAGATGTGACTCTTTCAGGCTTGGAGGAACTTCTTTACTCTTGTTTAGAAGTTCTCTCAAAAAGTTTCTCCTAAGCTTAGGGTGGCAATACAGTGTTCCAATTCCTCTATTAAAATATTAAAAAACAAACAAACACCCGTAAATATACATAACTATTCCCCTTTGGGGTAAGCAACATCATGCAAAGGGTAGAAAAGAGTGATAAACAGTAAGTCGAAGAAACACAGCTAAAGCTGGTTTACACCAATACCATTCATTAAACCTCCCCATACTTTTCCATCCTGCCAAATCATCCTTGTTTCCATCATGTTCATATAGACCAGGGTTCCCCAAAGTGGTCAATATCAACCCCAAAGGGTTGATGGGAGTATCCAAGGGGTCAATAAATGGCTGGGCATCAATAGGAAGAGACTGAACCTGGCAAAGTGTGGTAATTTCCAACAAAAACTCACCAATCTCCAACCAGTGCCTTGCTGACCCTCATCAGATACACCCTTCCCATCGATGGTATCGACAGCTTCAGTAAAAAAAGGCATGTTAAATCTTAATTTTTCATATTTTAAATATTATCTATTTTTATGGAGTCATCATTATACATTATTATTGTTCGTAGTATTATTGGTTAAAGTAGCATCTTCATATAATAAATGTTTGAGGGTCGATGAACAATCTGAAACTTTATGAATGGGTTAGTGAACTGAAGAATTTGGGGACTCCTGATACAGACCAATTCATACTCTGTATTTTGTTTTTAAATTTCCCACCTCTCTTTTTCTGAGTGTTTTTTCAACTCACCTCCACCAGCTTCCCAATCCTTTTTATATTTGCTTTGCAGTCTGTTCCTCATTCATTCTCTCTTTATGACCAAACCACCTCAACGCACTGCATTCATTCCCTCTTGCATGCAGTCCACATTCATTCAGCATCCATTCATTCTTGGCCCACTCACTTCCTGTTCAACCACACGCTTTCGACGGACTTTTATGTTACTGTACTCCTAACATGCCCAATTCTCACTTCGATATAATGACACAGGCAGAAACGCACTCTTTTATCAGTGACATTTGCTTCTTTCAACGAACAGTAATTTTACTCAACAAACCACATACTTGCCCATTACTTTTCTACCAGTATTTGCACATTTCTCCATCCTTTTCCCCAATTTCAGAAAACATTCTACCCAGTTATGCAAATTCCTTTACCACTGGGTGACTTGGCCAATCTTGAGGAGCAGAGCAACACCCTGAGCTGCTGAAAAAAAAGAGGGGCTGTAAATCTAACAGACAAACTAATTGTTTGCTCCATTTTCTGTGCCAAACATGACTATCTCGCTTATTCTGGCACGACGTCTCTTCAGTTCTGTGAACTAAAAAGAAGAGGAAAAAGGATTTTCTTTAAGAAAAATCTTTGTGGATTTCTTAGCCTACCCTTCCAAATAACCGACAGATTTTGAGCACAGGAGGGTCAAATTTCTAAAGGTAGTATTCTAAGAGGGCAGAGAGGGGGGGTTTCCAATTCACAAGGATTGTATCACCCCCTGAAATCCTGCACTTGCTTGCAAGGAGAAAACCATCAAAACTGGCCTCTCCCACTGCAGTCTAGGTTGCCACAGCAACAGAATTCTTCCTGTGCTGCTGCTATGGCAACGGGTGTGGGCTGGCGTCCAAGGGTACCCACTGCTGTCATTCCAGTTTGAGAAACCCTACCCTATACTTAAAGGGAGCGAGATCTCGTGTATGAGTATGCGTGCGTAGAGAAATACTGACCTCCGCGCAGCAAGATGGCCTTCCTGCCCTGCCTTGCCGAGGGGCCAGGCCTCGATTTGGCTCTTTCAGAGGCAAATAAAGGACGTGCTGGTTGCCGCACGCAATTGTACCCAATTCTCTTTTGTCTTTTCACATTCTCAAAAGCATTTCTGTGTGGCTGGTTGGAGAATGGAGAGTACCTCCCCCCTCCAAGTTGTTTCAGCAGATGGCGTGCCAACCTTGGCTGATCTTAAGCAGACTTGGTTGATATTTGGATGGGACACCACCAAGAAATCTAGAGTTCTGGGCTAAGCTAGGAAAGAGGAAAAAAAACAACCCTGGGAGAAGGCCAAGGCAAAGCACTTCTGTATTACTGCAGAGGAAACTAAAAGGTTTCGTCCGTGAAATCCCCAGGAATCAAGCTCAACTTGGAGACGGGCTCTTAGTTTAGCAAACAGTCTTCCTGTCCGGTCTCTCAACTTCCTTTCCCATTTCCAGAGTCCTGCCCGTTTATCTCTGGGAACAATGTCCCAAGATGTCCAGCAATGCATTTTCTGCCTCATCCAGAGACGCTGCAATGGAAAACAGCAGCTGCAAAACTCGCCCCTGCTCTAGGGTTTGCAAATTGGTATTTCCAGGAGGGAACTGAAGGCAAATGTGGATTGCCGTTCTCGGCATCCAATGTTTTAGCAGGTGGCAGCCTCTGGTTGATCTTGTCTGGACACAGAAACTAAGCAGGGTTAGAACTGGTTAATACCTGGATGAGAGACCACCGGGAGATCCCAGGGCTGGAGGTTAGACTGGGATTTGGGAAAAATGTCCCAGATGGCACTAGCAAACCCCTTCTGTACTGCAGCTGAGAAAACTTCAGGGCCCCATCCCCGCAGTCACCAGGAACTAACCTCTAGTCAAAGGAGATTTCAACTTTTAGAGGATCTTGGGGAAAATATGAGCTTTAAGGACATATCCAAAGGAGGGGGGGGGGAAAAAG